CACAGAGTCAAAGAGAGACAAATGGAGACACATATTGTGGTAGACACAGAAAGGACAAATTCTCCATTCGAAATGGCTGCTAACTGACAGAAAGGAAAAGAAAAATGTCTGTGCCATTACCACAACATTCCCCGGTAAGACTACTGTTTATCCAGCCTCACCTCGTTATTCCGACCAAACTGTGAATGAAGGGATGAGAATACAAGAAAAGGAGAAGCAGAAGTGCTTGTGGAACAACAGAAAGGAAGTTCGTGGTGAATCGAGCAGAAAAAGAGGAGACACTGAAGCAGCCTCCTGACGACAAATGTATTTTCTTTGCCAGTAAAACTCACGGCTTCACAAATCAGGGACCTTGAAGTGAAGCAGTGACGGTGATTATCTTTGTTGGTTGTTCATGCTGTGAATGTTACAGTTCTTGCTCATGTCCGCGCTAACACCACAATTCTACTGCATGTAAGCATCACACATAAACCCGGTGATAGGTTCTGAAAACAGAAAGGCCTCCAGCTGCGCAATGAGACTGACTCCCTGCATTAGGAGCTTTTGCAGAGCCCAATGTTAACAGTTTCTGTTTTGCAATTGGTCAGTGCATTCGGATATTGAGAGAAAGACTGGTGTTTTGAGACTACCCAGGAATGCAGCCTCTTGTGTTTTCCTACTCATCGACGTTTCCGGTGACACAGAAGATTGTCAATCGGGATTGTACCTTCAGGAGACAGCGTCGAAACTTTGTCAGCTCCACAGTTATCCAGTCAGACCCTGGACATACAGGTTTTAATACAGTTATTATCAAAATGTACCTTCATTTAATTCATAGAAATCTATGAAGCGATTGGAATCAAATAAACCCATGAACGATTTTCTCTTCCCCTGCTCCACACGGAGTGAGACATGGACAAGCAGCAGGATTTGACCCCGCACTCTCCAATCCTCCGCTGCCAGCAGAAAGCGGCCACTGCAGATTTAATCAGCCGCTTCGTGTCCATCCCTGCGAGGCAAGATCCTCCAACTGGGGCCAAACCTCTCATGCACCAAGCACAGGCTCAGGAAAACACAGGGCGATTCCATCCCGTTCAGTAAACTTCAGAGCAACATTGACACAATCTCCAAGTGAGTGGAACTTACTCTGAACCTCACTTGGGAAAGGTCATTTGATACAACGAGTGGAAACCTGTTCCTTCTGAACAGTTGTTCCCGTGTGGAAAAGGGCGAAAATCATTTTACATTTCACAACGGCTGCAGCTAATTCTTCTTGACCTTCGAATCTTTTTAACCGAACTGTGAAAATCCAGTCCCCAGATGCGAAGCTGCAGAATTTGCTGATGTACCGAACAAACAAAGTGCTGAATGTATTGAGTGAGACTGGGCAGACAGACACGCATTTCACACAGCCCGTAACAGAAATAACTGGGTTTATTGAAGCAGATTCACCGTCTCTCAGAGTGACTGGCAGTCGCATGGGCAACTCAAGGATGAGGGCACCGACATTAAAATATGAATTTTGAACGTTAAATTCCGGAACAAGCGCTGAAAATGGATTATAATGGTCCGAAGGAGTAACAGCTGAAAATTGGAAGATGTAACTGATGTTATTTGTGATTGAGAGGAATGAACTGGAAACTTGTGCTTTTCCAGGTGGATCATCTTTGGCACATTGAAATTAGATTGCAAGGGATTTGGCTCAGTGTGAAATGGGAGAAAAAGTATCTACCAATTAAGCCCGGCTCGCTCAGTCGCTGGAGCATGAGACTCTTAATCTCAGGGTCGTGGGTTCGAGCCCCACGCTGGGCGTCTTCGCTTCTTACAACTTTACTTTCTGAGGTGAAGGCCAGTTATTCAGTCCTCCAGCATTCATTAGTGAAACCAACAGCTTTCGCTGTGCCGAAAACAT